TGTTAGCCACTTCTTCGATCTTCTGGAGTTAGCATTCGAGAAGCATCAATATCCTGTAGATAGAGTTTTTAACATTGACGAGACTGGGTTGTCTATCGTCCAATCGAAGATACAGTCTGTTCTGGCTTTGAGGGGTGCTAAGCAAGTTGGCCCGATAACGTCTGCCGAGAGGGGATCTCTAGTCACAGCTGTTTTATACATGAGTGCAGGGGAACTTTTGTTCCACCATTACTTATTTATCCTAGAAAGAATATGAATATTTTGCTACAAAAAGGAGCCCCTCCTAGATCAAAAATTGTGTGTCATCCTAGTGGCTGGATTCAAACGAAAATATTTACAGAATGGTTCCGGCACTTTATAGAAAAAACAAGACCATCACAAAGTGATCCAATATTGCTAGTTTTAGATGGGCACAATTCGCATTGTCGCAACTTACAAGTTATCGATTTAGCTAGACAAAATTTTGTGGAGATATTGTGCCTACCCCCACACTCTTCCCATTATATGCAGCCGTTGGATAAAACTTTCATAGGGCCTTTAAAATCTCACTATAGTGAGGAATTAAGAGTATTTCTTCGAATCAATCAGAGGGCTATCACACCTTTCGACATCTCTGAATTATTTGGTAGGGCTTATTTGAAAGTCCAAACTGGGGCAATATCCGTTAATGGCTTCAGGAAAACCGGCATATATCCCACAAACCGCAATGTTTTCGAACACCACGATTTCCTTGATGCTGAAGAGGCATCGCAATCTGACACTCCATTAAACGAAATTTATGATGAAAATGGGACTACTTACCAACCAAAAAGGAATACGTTTATCGAGCCTCATCAAATATCAGCCTTGCCGACATTAAGTAAGAAAAAAGGACCTCAAAGAGGAAGAGCACCAGGAAAAGCTGCAGTTATATGGTAAAATTTCGGCTACTTTCCCCTACTTTTAAAAATTAAAAAGCTTTATACAATATAAAAATATGTATATACCTTGTACTAAAATTATAATCGACAAATTTTCTATAACGATAGAGAAAAAGAAAAAAAAAGCAATGGACGCCAATGTTTTCTTTCATTTCATATAAGTAATTAAAATTTACCGATATATTTTTGTTGTTGTTATTCATAAATCAATGTTCTTCCTAATTTATTAACCTGTAGTATTTCTATTGAAAAAGTCCGATATTTTTCTTATTACTAAAAAAATAAATCATCAAAACATATTTAATATAGTACGATTGTGATACAATCTAAAAATGCTATCAATATAATCTCAATACAACCATATCAAAGGAGCTTTAACAAAAAGTTTATTAACAAGGTCGCAATATTCGGTATATTAATTTATTCACTATAATTCTTATATAATGGCATACGATCGAAAACTCATAAACCAACTTTATTACGATCAAACATTAATTACAACATGTAACGAGGCAGCTGATACTACTTTAGTCAAATAAACTCATTTCAAAAAGTGTGTGCACCCTAAAACCACTAGAATGCAGTTAATTTTAGGAAAACAATGTTTGAAAGATCCAAGTCAATTGATTAAATTTATTGTTTTATTTATTTGTGGAATTTTTACAGTCACTCAGGTAACTATATACCATAATAATAATATCCAATTATGTATTAAATATTTCAACAAATGAAGACGTTAGATCAACAACGGTACATGCCATAAAAGTAAGTTTTTGAGAAAATCAACTATAAAGGTTTTAATCAAATCCTGAAATACCAAATATAGATTAGAAATTCAGTAAATGGCGTTATTTGAAACTATTCTTGACACGCTATGCTAATTTTAATAAAGTCGTTTTTGTAGGACAAAAAACAATAAAATTTCGAAAAAATGTGGCTTGCACCTTTATTACAAAAAAAATGTATGAATATAACAAGTTGTAAAATAGATATCATTATATAATATTAAAAGTTATACATAGTATTAAACGACAAAAAAAATAATAAATTGCAATTCTATACTTAGGATTGTTTCAAAATCACTTCAATGTTTATCCTTCAGATCGCTTATGTCCAAATTCAAATCCGTACCACAGAGCATAATTATAAGTCCACAATTTCAGTTTTTTACATTTTTGGCTCACTTCTCAAATTTTCCGCTCTATTGACTGGTGTTTCTTTTGGTCAAAATAACCTTTTTTGTAGTCCACATTGCGTTTAGAGCAAAACAGTATCTTCTGCATTTTAAGTGTGTTATATCCAAAATGGTGTATACATTTCATAGGGCAATACCATACGTCCAACAAAAAGTATTATGTCTAACATAATGCAATTCAAGCAAAGGATTAAATCCATAATATCCTTCTTCTTCTTAACATGCCATACACCAAAGTGCGTAGGCGACTATCTCATTACTAGAATTCTGTTCTTGGCGGCGTGACACAGCTCACTTGTATTGTGTATTCCTGTCCATTCTTTAATATTCCTTAACCAGGATAATTGTTTGCGGCCGGCTCCTCTCCTACCTTCGATCTTCCCTTGTAGGATTAACTGTGGTATATATATTTTATTTCATATTTTGCTCCTCTCAATATGTGCCCAAGGTAACCAATCTTGCGTTTTTTAATTAATTCAAAGAGTTCTCTTTCCACGCCGGCTCTATTAAGGACGTCATCGTTTCGAACTCTATCCACCCAAGGTATGCGCATCATTCTTCTCAATGAGCACATTTCAAATGCTTCAAGTTTGTTGATAGATGTTTTTTCAAAGTCCACGTTTCCATGCCATAAAGACGGACCATATGTAGCACTTGACCATTCTGTATCGTATTTCGAAGTTTAGGTGTTGATTACATAGGAGCGGTCTGAATTTCACAAAAACTTGTCTTGCCATTTGTATTCGGGTTTTTATCTCGTGTTGTGGATCCGATTGGTCATTGATTGTGGTGCCAAGGTATTTAAAAGTTTTCACGCGATTTATGCTATTGTCACCTATGTATATTATCGGGTTTTCTGGAGGGTTTCTGCTAATGACCATATATTTCGTTTTTAAAATGTTGATTTTGAGGCCATGTTTTTTACCTATGCTATTCACCCTATCAAGTATCACCCTATCAACTGCTGATCTTCCAAATTATCAGTTATAATCACTGTGTCGTCCGCATAGCGAGGTTGCTAATGCCTATGGTAGGTGGTATGCCGTTCACCTTAATGCCTAATTCCGTATCTTCTAATGCGTCCGAAAATATATTTTCAACATTAAAAAGCATCGGAGAGAGTATGCAGCCTTGGCGGACACCTTTCCGCATTTCAAATTCATCCGTATATTGGTCTTGATCAATCCTCACCTTTGCCATTTGGTTCCAGTATAGATTCTGAATGATTCTGATCTCCTTCTGGTCAATGTTGGCCCCATGTAGTAGTTCCATCATGATATCATGTTTCTCTCTCTTCAATCCTGACCCCAGAGAGGGAGTGTAGTGGTCGATGTGATGTCGTGTATTGTCCGTCTCCAGAGATCTCTGTCTCTGGTCATTTCTTTTAATTCATGCATAGATCTTTGGCATATTCCTGTAATTTGATCTATCCATTTTGTTGGGGATCTTCCTCGTGATCTTCGGCCTTCTACCTTTCCTTGTATTATGAGTCTTTCCATGTTTTCTGTGTTTGCTCTCATAACATGCCCAAAATATTTTAATTGTTGGAGATGGACTTTACTAGAGAGTCGTTGGCTAACTTTTAGCTCTCTTAAAATTGAATTATTTGTTCTATGGTCGGTCCAAGGAACTCGTAACATTAGTCTCCAACAAAACATTTCAGTGGCGTCTATCTTTCTTCTCTCCGATTGTCTCAGAGTCCAAGATTCACATCCGTAGGTCAGTATTGGGAATATTAAGCAGTTGATCAACCTCATCTTTATCGCTCTTGAAATTTGACAGTCCTTCCATATTTTGGTCATTTTTGCTGTGGCAACTTTTGCTAGATCACATCTACGTTTAATCTCTTCTTGTAATGACCCTCTGTTTGTGATTAATGATCCTAGATATAAGTATGAGCTTACAACCTCGAACCGGTCAATTGTGGTTATGTGTGGATGATTGTTGTGTAGTCTATCCACTATCATGATCTTTGTCTTTGATATGTTTAATTGCAGACCAAATATTTGACTTTCGTTTTCGATCAGTAGTATAAGTTCTATCAGCTCTGCTTGACTATTTGCAAGAAGGGCTGTGTCATCTGCGAAACGTAGGTTGTTTAGTTTATGACCATTTATTGAGATGCCCTTTTCCCATCCTTCAAGTGCTCTTCGCATAATATACTCCCCATATATGTTGAATAATTGTGGAGATAGTATACATCCTTGTCTGACACCCCGTTCTGAATGAAATTCGTTCGAAAGTGTGTCAAGTACTTTAACTGATCTAGTAGTGTGTTCATATAGTTCGGTTATAAGCATAAAATTTGATGTTGTGGTACGCCTACTTCTTTTAGTATTCGCCATAAGTGTCTCCACTTGACCCTGTCGAACGCTTTACGGTAATCTATAAAACAGATGTATAATGGGATGTTGAATTCCCTAGATTTCTCGATTATCTGTCTTATATTCAGCAGGTGTTCTCGAGTGCCTCTACCTTTGGTAAATCCAGTTTGCTCTTGTGGAATTTCTCTTTGAAGGAATGTTTTCAGTCTCTCATTGATTATATGTAGCATTATCTTGCTGGCATGGGATATAAGAGAGATAGTTCTATAATTATAGAACTATCTCTAGATATCATGTTTAACATTGTCAAATTCCTTCTCGTAGTCTATGAAGATGAGGTAGACATCTTTTCGTTGATCTAAGCTCATATTATCCATAAGCTTTTAAAATTTGGCAAGTCTGTGCTTGTTGAGGTGTGAATTACATAGTAGAATAGTGCGTTGTGCTTTTGTTCAGTTCGCTGTTTACAGTAGGTATATTGAATCGCATGGTCTCTTCGCTTTTAAACCCAGCGTCACATTTTTTAAGTCTTGCATGTTAAGTTAAATGAACTAGCTAAAAATGGAAGATAGAGCCCACAGAATTATTCAGTTTGCACTGAACAGTAAAGAAAACATGAATAATGCATCCTCATTAGTGGAAAATGTTTCTTGTAAACGTAAGTATTTCGAATGGTAAATAATAAGTTTAACTACATTTTAAAGACAAAATTTTGATTTTACTGTGATGATCTTTAACATTCGTTCATTTTATAGAAAAGATGTACCTAATGAATTTAAAATAAAAAAAGGATGAATTATTTTGTTGCTGTTTTATACGATACGCAGTCACTTATTCGCCTGTACATCTTTATTTTTATTGTTTTAGACTACCTTGAGAGTCAGAATTCGGATTAGGCTATGGTTGTAAGGACCACATCATTGTTTCGTTAGATATATCATACAACTTTGTTAACCTGTAAAAGAATACAACTTTTTTTTTTCGTCTTTATAGAGGGGGGTCTGAAATCTTCAAAGGACGCCGCCTGACTAACCTTAGTGCAGGATTCGTTCTTCGTACTCCCGGCGATAGTTCCCGAGGTACTTTAAAATGCCCTCTCGTCGCCGAGTCTACGCCGAACGCCTACCTGCTAAACCAGACCCTCCTCTGTCATCCAGCGATCCGGAAGCGGAATGGCCGCTGTAAGTCCGGTATCACTTCCGAAGCACTATCTTTATTCATTCATTCTCCATTCATACACATCCACACTCCTAGTTCGGCATCATTCCCAGAAGGGCATTTCCTCCTTTCCCACAGTCAAACTCACGCATTCTAACTCAAAAAGTGTGACCCACTCTTCTAACTTCACCTTTCAGCATCATGCACTCTACCTTCGCCGTTGGTCCAGCTGTCTTTCTTCCTCTTCCTTTTTCTTAATTACTGCACGGATATAACTGTGTATGTTAATCCAACCTAATTTATTTTCAATCATTTCTCTCACTGTAACAAAATTCACACCTGTGTCTCTCTCTCCATTCTGTTCCTTTCCACTATCCATCTGCTGCAATCTAACATCGTATGTGTCACAGTGTCCGAGTATCCACAATATAGGCATTCATCTGTATCAGCCTTTCCGATCCTATAAAGGTAGGCCCTAAAACACCCGTGTCCTGTGAGCACCTGCGTCAGGAAATAATCCAGTCGCCTGTGGCCACAGTCCACCCAATCTCTTATGTTCGGGATCAGCATTTTCGTCCACTGTGTCACATCCTTCGTATTGTTCCATTCTTCTTGCCATCTTTCAACTGACCTTTCCCTTACCTGTCTTCTTTCAGCCACAGTAAGGTTTGGGCCTCTTCTCTCATAAAACTCTTTTCTTTCCACCGCCAAAACATGCAACGGAATACATCCAGTGATGGTCCATAAAATATAAAAAAATACAACATAAAAGAATACAACTAAAATGCAGCTAAATGCAGATGCTGTTATGGCGTGCTTATTAACGATATTAAGCAAGAGAAAGATCCATCTGAATATTCGGGAAGTTCATTTGTTCCTAGCATTAACTAAAATACCGACAATGATTTTAAAATCAAAATGAATGAAAATGAAAAAGAGTTGGTAATTTTTTTGGAAAATACAACGACTGACTCCAAGCTATCTGGCCACTTCTCTTTGACTCATTCCATTACTAATCAAAGTAACAATTTGAACAGATTTAGCAAATTTTTTAGCCATAGTTTTTTTATTTTCTATTAAAAAAAAATAAGGTACAAACAGCACGTGCATTATCTGAAGTCGTAAAACTGATATCAATTCTGTAAACTTATTACCCTTAATTGACCTGTCGGCACCGTTTGTCGGTGCACAAGCTCTAGTTTTTATTTTGTAGGTAGATAGGAACCTAACCATTTGAAAAATGGATATAAGTCGTTTTTAGTAAAATCACAGTATAAAGAGGTTCCACCTCTTGGAACCTCTTTATACTGTGGTAAAATTGTGGCTTATACACTTGTTGCTCTACCGTGAATAACGCTCTACTTTTCTATAAGAAGTGAATAATATTTAAGTTAAGTTATTAGATTAATTAATAAGCTTAATAATATAATAATAATAAGATTAATAAGCAATTTTGATATAAAAATTGCTTATTAATCTTATGAATCTGAGTTGAACTTGAGGAAAACACTCTGGAATATTTTCATTTTTAAAAAAATATATAAATAATTGCTCTTTAATATAGTATTGTTTCATTACTAAATAATAAATTCAATAATATAAAATGAAAGGTAGAATTCACTCCTTGTATGTTTTAGGTTACCCAATGTGTAAAAAAATTTTTGTACCCACCTGCATCTACACATGCTGAATTTGTCGTTAACAGTAGCGTAACTTATCCATGTGTAACAATATGTCGTCGGCCTGCATACAAAACTAATCTTTTTTCGGTAAGTATCTTATATAAAAAATACAAAAAAAGAACGTGGCACTTGGGGAATGCCGATAAAAGTTAATACTTCTTATAGCGTGTTATTACTATATGTAGGTTAACGCAATTTTATGTCTGGTTATCACTGAATTGTTAATATTTTTTATAATAACTGCATAAATTTCTGTAAGAAATGTATTGCTACGCCATTGGTAGCAATTAACTTACATGTCTTAAAATCTACTGAAGTAAATTATTCAGCAAATTCTCATGAAAGCCAATAATGTATTAAAAAGATATTTTTACCCACAGATTAACTTTCTCCAACCAATTCCCAAAATTTTCCTGTTAGAAAGAATTCAAAAGGTGGGTTTAACCTACCTCTGTATAGAAATATCAAAGTTCTCCCCCGTCCCCCGCAAATCCCTTGGCAATAGTCAGGCATTGCAATCAGAATTTTAAGTAAGTAATATAAAATTGTATCCCAGCTTAGCTGGTCGCGGTTAGAGGCTTAAATGTCGCATTTTAGTTAATGTTAGTTTCGTATTCGATCAAATTCGACGCATTTATGATTTAAAAGTGTAGACTTTCGCGTATTAAGTCTACCTAGTTATTGTTATATAGTTTATAGTTAAAAACCGAATGCTCATTATTAATCAAGTATATTAATAATAAAGAAAACATTCTCAGTTGAAGTGCTAATTATTAGTTACATTTTAATCTGTATCACTGCTAGTGTAGTGTGTCGCAGACTAGTGTATGGTGGACAGTGATCGGCGGTTTCAATAAAGAACTTGCGCTAAAACTTTGGCTAGATATTAATTTAGTTGTAGTAACATTCAATTATTAAATTAAGTATTGTTCAAACTGCTTGTGCTCTTATTTCCCACGCCAGTGGGTGGTTTAATTCTACCACTACACATTTAGAATTTATAAAATCCTAATTTTGTTCTTTAAAAATTTTGTTTAACAATTTCAGCACTTTTCAAAATTTACCTTCCAATTTTGTTGGACCAAACCAATTCACTTGAAATTAAGTGAGTTGATGAGAAAGTGCTTAAATAACAAAAGTTATATAACGCCGAACACACTGGTCAAACTCAGTTTGGTTTTAAGAATGGGTTCTGAACAAGAGAAGCACTTTTTTCAATACCTGTGCTAGCTGAAAGATGTAGAGATGTCGATTCTAATGTATACTTGTGTTTTATAGACTTTCAGAAGGCGTTTGACCTGGTGAAACATGATAAACTAATAGATATTTTAAGGTTATGTAATATCGACGATAAAGACTTAAGGATCATTTCAAACCTCTACCAAGAACAAAAGGCTAAAATCAGAATAAAAAGGGAAACATCTGGAAAAATCAATATCGAGAAGGAAGTAAGACAGGGATGTGTCCTTTCACCTTTGCTGTTCAATGTTTACTCTGAGAAGATATTTCAGAAAGCTTTGGAAGGAACCTCGGATGGTATAATTATAAACGGGCAATGTATAAATAACCTGCGATATGCTGATGACTCTGTCATACTGGCAGATAATGCTAAAGCCCTACAATGCTTAATGGACCGAGTAACGACAGCCTGTAGAGAATTTGGAATGAAATTGAATACAAAGAAGACAAAAACGATGGTCATCAGCAAGCACCAAAACAGAAGGGTGAAGGTCAATGTCGACGGAACAGATCTGGAAAGAGTAACAAGAACAACGTACCTTGGAAGTAATATTGATGAAACTTGGTACCACTCACTAGAGATAAGAATACGCCTGGAAAAGGCACGTACAATGTTTTACAAAATACAAAATGTTCTATGCAACCACCAGCTGGATATCTCTATCGCTGGATAAGCCTGGACAATGATAAAAGCAACACAAAAAAGAATCCAAGCATTCGAATTCTGGTGTTACCGTAAAATGCTCAGAATATCCTACATGAGCCATACGACAAATGCGGAAGTCTTGCGGAGGATGAATAAGGAAAGAGAGCTTATGCTTATAATAAAAGAACGGAAAACACAATATTTTGGTCACATCATAAGAAATCAAAAGTATGAACTGCTCCAACTTATAATCGAAGGCAAAGTCAATAGCAAAAGAGGACCAGGAAGAAGACGCAACTCTTGGCTTAAAAACCTACGGCAATGGACGAACGTGACCTCCATAGAACTATTTAGGGCTGCTACAAATAAGATTTAATGGACAAATGTAATGGCCAACGTCCTTAAGGATAAGGCACCGTAAGAAGAAGACTGTTCTTCTTGACTTCCTCTTGTTTTTGATCTAAATGTTGTACACAACATTACCGGTGGCTTTTCCATCTTTCTGAGATTTTACTGCGTGAATCACTTCTTCTCTGGCTATTTCTGGGCCTTTTTCATTAATTTGATTATCTGTGGATGGTGGAGAACAAGCTCCATCGTCGTCAAAAAGAGTTTGTATGCATTCTTTCTATCTCTCTAGTTTATCTTTTGTACCCATAATTCTACATTATTCTTTCATATTATCTAAATTATTTAATAAAGTAATCTTTTTAGTTCTTGTATATTCAAAAATTCTCTACATTCGAGACAACTACCTAATATTTCCACATTTCTCACTCTATACCTCCATGATAGTCTAAGCATTCGACGCAGGTAGCACATCTCAAAAGCTTAAAGTTTGTCAATGAATATGGCTTTTAGCGTCCATGCTGACATTTCGTACAACAAAACAGGCCAGGCATAACACTTAAGCATCTTGTATCTCAAGAAAAA